CAAATTCAGGATCTCCAAAAATTCGAATATTACTTTAGACCAATACAAAAAAAGGATTTTTTGTATTGGTTTTGTATTAGTGACTAGCACCCCGGCTACATCTTTATCACAGCATCTGAACACAATTCTGTTAGACATCAAGGACCAATGAACATCTGATTCATTCTGTGGCTCATTTGGTTTGTACCAGAATGTGAAGCTACAGCGCTCTAATTGAGAGCAAAGGCCTGACGTGAAGCCAACTGAAAAGTATGAACATGGAGGCGATCAGTCTGTGGCGCTGCTCAGGTGTTATGAGAGCCCAGGTTGCTCTGAAAGTGGCCTTCAGCTCTTCTGCATTGTTGGGTCTGTCGTAACACATCTTCCTCTTCACAATACCCCATAGATTTTCTATAGGGTTAAGGTGAGGCGATTTTGCTGGTCAATTAAGAACAGGGATACCATGGTCCTTAAACCAGGTACTGGTAGCTTTGGCACTGTGTATAGGTGCCAAGTCCTGCTGGAAAATGAAATCTGCACCTCCATAAAGTTGGTCAGCAGCAGGAAGCATGAAGTGCTCTAAAACTTCCTGGTAGATGGCTGCGTTGACCTTGGACCTCAGAAAACACAGTGGACCAACACCAGCAGATGACATGGCACCCCAAACCATCACTGACTGTGGAAACTTTACACTGGACTTTCCAGAACGTGGATTCTGTGCCTCTCCTCTCTTCCTCCAGACTCTGGGACCTTGATTTCCAAAGGAAATGCAAAATTTACTTTCATCAGAGAACATAACTTTGGACCACTCGGCAGCAGTCCAGTCCTTTTTGTCTTTATCCCAGGCGAGACGCTTCTGACGCTGTGTCTTGTTCAAGAGTGGCTTGACACAAGGAATGCGACAGCTGAAACCCATGTCTTGCATACGTCTGTGCGTGGTGGTTCTTGAAGCACTGACTCCAGCTGCAGTCCACTCTTTGTGAATCTCCCCCACATTTTTGAATGGGTTTTGTTTCACAATCCTCTCCAGGGTGTGGTTATCCCTATTGCTTGTACACTTTATTTCTACCACATCTTTTCCTTCCCTTTGCCTCTCTATTAATGTGCTTGGACACAGAGCTCTGTGAACAGCCAGCCTCTTTAGCAATGACCAGCTGTCAAGTCAGCAGTCTTCCCCATGATTGTGTAGCCTACAGAACTAGACTGAGAAACCATTTAAAGGCCTTTGCAGGTGTTTTGAGTTAATTAGCTGATTAGAGTGTGGCACCAGGTGTCTTCAATATTGAACCTTTTCACAATATTCTAATTTTCTGAGATACTGATTTTGGGGTTTTCATTAGTTGTCGGTTATAATCATCAAAATTAAAAGGAACGAACACTGGAAATATATCAGTCTGTGTGGAATGAATGTATACATTATAGTTAAGTTTCACTTTTTGAATGGAATTACTGAAATAAATTCACTTTTTGATGATATTCTAATTATATGACCAGCACCTGTAGTATACAGCAGGGCTATTCAATTACAAATTCAGTTGGGCCAGATTCAACATACTGAATGAAGTTTAGAAAGAATAATGAACTCCTCCTGTCCTTCTCCTCCTCTCTCTGCTGTTGCTGGTAGAGAGGATTTGTTATACAAATATGTGCCATATAGGCAGGTAGGTAGGTTTATTGTCACAATATAACAAGTTGAGTGATATTAAGTTTCGTAACTCCCTTTAGCTAAATAGCAGACAATATACATTAATACAGAATCAATTCTGAAAAATGGTAAACGGAAATAAACTATAATCACTGGAGCAGTGCATATTTTAATGTACGTGGCAAACTAAGCTGAACAGTTACTAAAGAGAGACAGCTTTCACTTCAGCTTGTTTGTAACAATTAGATATTAGCCGAACTAGTACTGTGCTTTTGTAAAACTAAAGCAGCTGCGGTGGATGAGAGACAGAGCAGATTTAAATATTGTGTTCTATATGTTTATGCTTATTAAGCAGGTGTGTTGGTAAAGTATTGGCTTTTTACTCGCCAAGGCTTTATTGCACCATGTACTTACACTAACAAGTGTAGTTGTCATCAGTGTCGGTAATGTCCACTGATCAGCTGCCTGACTTCGCTCTGTGTTGTGTCTGTCATATGAAACTCTCAACAGAGATGAGACGAAAACATTATAGCTCACTCGTTAGCTACTTCCATACACTATATATGTAGTTTCCTTTTGTTGTCAAATATTAGATTATGTATGCTGGCCCACATGGAGGTTGCATCGTGGCCGAATTTGGCCTGCGGGATACCAATTGAATAGGGCTGGTGTAGGCAATGAGAAATTAAGGGATTTGTGTGTAGAGTTTAGGGAAATGGGTGTGCTTTTTGACATTAAAAAGGCAACGACTGAACATGAAGAGGAAGAATGAAAGCACAGCTAAAGATAAATGCATAAACTCCGCATCCTCTGTGATAGAGATGAATCGCTACTGTTATCTATGTCTAGATTTGAGAGGTGTGGTAGAGATTTACACATAGTCTTCTCCTCAGCACCAGAGTCAGTCCAGCAGGCCTGAGTGTGTCCCATTGTGAAATGGACCACACACCACTGGGATACTAGCTATTAGTCCAGTCTCTCTGGAGCCCAGTTAGCTATCAGCCAATACATTAACATAGCTAGCAGAGAAAGATGATAATACTTAGATGATGGGGAGGACTGTGGATAGAGTTGAAGGGATAACTGTGGAGAAACTGGTCAAATCAAGCTGCCTGTCAATGGAGAGGAAGACAGCTTGTGATTGTCGTGGAAATTGGATATTGCCGGTGAGGGATTAAGCAAATAATTGAATTACAACAATTCATTGCCTTTGAAGAATTTATTAATAAAAGAGAATAAACAGAGAAGTACTGTAACACATATACAGCTGATCCAGAGACCTGCTGCCTAGGTCAGCATCGGGCTACTGGCCCCGAGCAAAGAAAAAAAAAAGTGTGTGTGTGTGATATAAACAATAATAATAACAAAATAGTTAATGTAAGAGAACAATTTTCTGCCACAACAGTGATTATCTGAAAAAAAGAGTGAAGGGGTGCCATGTCACACATTAGATATCTTTCTTTGTCTCCATCCTCTGGTGCTGTCCTTTCTTTCTAGATTGAATTGAAAAATTGAATTGAAAATAGATGGATGCTGTCAGGAAGTTTAAAATTGTGTGTTACCTGCACTAACTCTCTCTCTGTCTCTCCAGTTAAACAGATGACTTTTGTTAAAGAAATATTGTGAGCTGTGTTCAGGTGTGATTAACACCAATCGGAAGAATACTTCCTATCTGGGGATATCTATCCCTCCTAGTGCAATGAAACAAAATAAAGACAGACAGTCAGTCGGTCAAGCAGACAGAGAGGAGAGACAGAGCCTGACCGACAGATTGGGAGAGTCACAGGCTGTCACCTTAGTCCAGCAATTGACTCATGAGAAACCAGTCATAGTACCCCTAAATTCCTTCTATCAACTATTCAACTATTGTTTGTTCACTTGTTCATATTCATTTCAAGCAGTCAAACAATAAGCTATAATCCCAGAGAGAGAGCTCTCCTGAAGTGTGTTTGTGGAGTTTGGAGAAGTGCTGTGTTGTCTCTGTGTTCAGTGAAACCAGCCACACCATCAGTGATGGGATAATTGCTTTCCTGATGAAACCAGGAGATTGTGGGTAATCAGATAAGTCTTCTAATCAAACAGCATAAAAAGCTGCCAAACCTATTGCATGGTGGTTTGTGATTATTATTGCCACTTAGCTTATATTGGATTATGTACACTGTTAAAACTGTTACTTGGATCTAACTCAATAAAATTAAGACAACATTTTCCAACTATTTTTTTCAAGTTTAGTGAACTAACTGATATTTTGAGTAAAGACAACTTAATAATGTGAATTTCAATGTATGCAAAAATATTAAGTAGCATTTTCAGAAAAAGCCAATAAATTGAGTACTATCAATGTAGAAAATATCATCATTTTATACACATTAAACTTAATTAAAATAGGTAACTTAAATGAAAAAAATAAGTAGATAATGTTCTGATTTATTAATTTTGATCAATTTACCCTCTTTGTTTTGAAAGTGTAAATAGCTTCAAATAAATAGTTGCTACTATGTCAATTTCCAACATTTATTAAATCATTGCCATATCCAAAACAGTAGCAATGAGCTGGACAGTATAAACATTGGTATTCAGGCATTCAAGAAAACATGCCCTCAGCAAATAAAGTGCAGGTTAGTGGAACACCTTCACAGTACAGTTCTGTGTACATAATGTTACAAAATTTAAAAATTTAAAATTAAAATTTAAAATTAAGTAACAATTTACAAACCAAATTCAAAATGAGCTGGATAGTGTTAACAATCAATAACATCTATTCATGCATTAAAAAAAGCATGACCTCAACTTATAAAGTGCAGGTTAGAAGAACACCTTCACAGTATATTTTACTGTGTGTACATACATAATATTAAAACATTTTAATATCAAGTTAACTGGCACTTGCTATTTTTTTAACAATTCACATGCCATATCCAAATAGTGGGAATGAGCTGGACAGTATAAACAATCAAGAACTTCTGTATTCATGTATTAAACAAAATATGACCTCAGCTTGTAAATAGTAGGTTAGTAAAACACCTTAAAACGATAGTTCACTTCAAAATGAAAATTCTGTCATCATTTACTCACCCTCAAGTTGTTTTAAACCTGTATGAATTTCTTTCTTCTGCTGAACACAAGGAAGATATTTTGAAGAATGTTCTTCCATAGTCTTTTTATTTTTTTCTAATATGGAAGTCAATGGGTCCAGTTAACTGTTCGGTTACTGACATTCTTCAGACATCTTCCTTGTGTCCTGTAGAGGAAAGAAATTCATACAGGTTTAAAACAACTTGAGGGTGAGTAAATGATGACAGAATTTTCATTTTGAAGTGAACTATCCTTTTAACAGTACAGTGTGAACATAATATTGAAACATATAACACTAACATTACAGGTCACAAGCATGACCATCTGACCTCAACTTGGCCTACCTTCACAGCGTGTGTGAATATTTTGAAACATCTTTAGTCAAACATCTCACTGATCTCACCTACTGACCAGTTTTTAAAGTGCAGCTTCACAGCAGGTCTATTTTGTGTGTATAAAATATAATTACTTTTTCACACCAGGAAGTATGACCTGTGTACAGTATAAAACATGACAAGGATAAACCATTACAACAACCTGAATGTCCAATTATGTCCAATATAACATTGGACATAACACCCATTATGTCCAATGTATAATGATGTTGAACAGACAAAGAAAACAGCTGTTCACAAGTGCAGTGACAGTCATGTCTGAGTGCCTAGGCAAGGAGTTTGTTTTTCAGGGTCATGAACTTGGGGCTTGGTTTTGGGCGCAGTGTGTCAAGTCCCACGAAAAGTCTTTGAAACACCTCAAATGTTTTGGAAAGCTTGGATGGATACTCAAGATTAAGTGCATATGTCAACCCAAGCAGGAAGCAGCATGCTTTGGCCAGGTTTCCAAGATTGGTAAGGACTGGTATTCCCTCAATGATGATTCCTACTGCATCTGGCTCACGGCAGACATAGATGCTCATGTTCTTAATTTTCAGGTCCTCATGAACAATGGTCTCTGCGGCCCCCTTTTGAGATACAAGATAAAGTATTTAAGACAAACAATCTCATTTATTAAGAAAAATAAATAAATGCATAAATAATCCACTACCTGCCAAATGCTGGTTCATTCAGTTCACATTAAAGGGAAACGCTTGCCAAAATTTAACCTAGGCTATTTTTGTTAATCTACCAGAGTCATTCTTTCTTGTAAAAGCATAATTAGAATGGAAATGCCACTCTCAAGATAGACTTTTTTCATATGAAGTCGAAATGCCTTTTGAATGCTAGGGGCACTACAATGATGGCATAAAAATCACTATTTTTAAAACACTAAGAAGGCTCAACACAACATGAAACTGTACTTGAAGTGTCACCAGGGGCTCTACACATGGACTCGAGCATTGACAACATTGTGTACCGTATTTTCCGCACTATAAGACGCACCTTCAATGAATGACCTATTTTAGAACATTTTTCATATATAGGGCGCACCGGATTATAAGGCGCATAAGATACTGCAGTCAAACGTTTGACTGGGTTTGCGTTATGCATCCACTAGATGTGCCAAAGGGAATGTAGCGAATGCGCGGCACCAGAGGTGAGGCGTTTTAGTAAGCGTGAGCGCGCTGGGGCGGGCACGTAACTTGCATTCGCAGCCTGACTCATGAGTATTCATGTGCGGCGGCTCGCTGACAGCAACAGCAGGCTGTTTGAATGAGACGACCCGGTTACTGTGAACAGGGAGCGCTTTATGAACATTCTGTGACGCGCGAGCAGCGCGGGGGACAGTGTGTCTGTTTGTGTGTCTGTTAGTAAGAGTGAGCGGTCGTGAGCGGGCACGTGACTTACACACATAACATGATTTATACGAGGTTGAACTGGCCGTGTGACAGAGCGGGCATAAGATGGACACGAGCGCGAGTTCACGGGCGAATTTAATAACGCAGAGCGTTATTAACCAATTGATTCATATGTAAGGCGCTCCGGATTAGAAAATTAAAGGCTTTTAAGTGCGCCTTATAGAAAGGTTTTGTACGACTCACTTTATCAGTGGCGGCTGCTGTTTCGTGTGCCTAGGTGACATAGGGCCAGTCATTTGTTTGTGTCTACTAGAGTGCCAACCTGTGAGGAACTCTTAAGACAACTGATGTTTAGTTTTATGTGTCGCCTGGACAAGTCAGTGATTCATATTATTTAAGCGCTAGTTAATCCTCTGAAAAGCTGTTATAGACACACTTCTAGGTTAAGACAACATTGGTGCAATACCCTGTAGATCATACATACATACATGTTTGTGTTTCTGGTAGCTGGAATTTTGTCAATCTCCAAATGCAATGCAACATGAGGAGAGTAAAGATGGAAAGCTCCTAAAGTTTGTTTCCATATAAATTGCCATGAGCTAAGTTATCTTTTTATTGGAATTACAAGTTCATGACATTTCCTCATATGTAGTTCATTACATTCGGAGATCGAATACTTTTGACTGTCAAAATTCTAGCCACCGTAAACACTAACTGATAATGTGAGTCGCACAAAACATTTCTTTTTAGTAAACTGTGTGTACACAAACAATGTTGTCAATGCTCAAGTTCATGTGTAGAGCCGCTTTAGTGTTTTAAAACTAGCGATTTTGATGCAATCATTGTAGTGCCCCTAGCACACCCATTCAAAAGGCATTTTGACCTGAAAACGAAAATACGGTCAATCTTAAAAGTGGTATTTCCATTCTAATTATGCTTTTACAAGAAAGTATGACTCTGGTAGATTAGCAAAAATAGCCTAGGTTGCAATTTGGCAAGAGTTATCCTTTAACAGTCCGCACAATTTAAACATGTTCACCAGACTGACCCAAACCTGCTTTGAGACAATACTTACACAGTAATCCGAGATAAGCTCCTGTCCACTCTCTCCCATATACTCAAAGAGGCATCTCAGAGTGACATCTCTCTTCTTCACTGTAGTGGCACTTGGGTCCTAGTTAATAGAACAATAATGAATAAATTATTTTTGTTGGTAAATTCACTCCAACCCTGTAATTACTGTAGGTCTGTATTATTTTTTCTTTTTTATTCATTATAATATATTAATAGTAATAACACGAGACAATTTAGAAAAAAACTGGCTAATTAACAAAAAAACAACAAAACAAAAACCACCCAGATAAGCAAGATGCTGAAAAAACTGAAAAACAAAACCACTCAATTGATTAATATCGTACCTTAACTTTGTAACCAATTTTTCCCTACCTGTATCAGATCCATCAACAACTTTTTGATGCGTTGACCAGTTGCTCCTCCCTTGGCACTAAAGAGTTCTAGGAGCTTTGGGGTGTATTTGTCCAGCTGTGACATAAACGTCGCTTCCAGGGAAACTGCAGTACATCTTCGGAACTCCTCGTTTACCTGTAAGACAGCAAATGTTTGACTTATTTAAGGGGGTTTAAAGATTAATCTACTATCTCATGTCCAAGTCACAATTTCTAAAAAGTTCTCAGAAGTGAGTAGTGTCAGCAAAAACTGAATGATAAGTCACTTACCTGGAATGGTTCGAAGAGGGCAGGCCATCTTTCCTTGAATTCTGCCACACCAGGAGACTTGGTAATAACTTCCTGTCTTCTCCAGCTGTATGTTCTGGCCATCATATCATTTGTGCTCCTGACAGAGTCCTTTGTCTGATGGGCAGCAATTAGGTCAAGTCTCAGATTCTCAAGGGTGTCATCTGTTTCACCATGTGGGTGTGAGGGCAAGTAATTCACCTCTGCCCTCTTTGGTTTCTTGACATTTTTAGCGGCTTTTCGCTCATCACTTGACTTGTTTCTCAGTGAGTTTATCAGGAGTTCAGTGCTTCCAAGTGCTTTCCGTTTTGTCCGGTAGTTTCCACACTTATACTTTAGGCTTACCTGCCACCCATAAATTCCATTAAAAGATCCGGGCTCCTTTAAGCAGGGATGCTTTGCAACTAGTGCCTCTGCCACTGCACATCTCTGGGCATCATTGGGGTAAGCTGTGTAGAAAAACATGGCCTCTGCCAGGCGCTCCAGGATGTCTGATTTGATACTTGGGATGTCATAGGGGTGCCATCTCTTAAATAAATCTCGTTTCCTTGTCTTAAGGCCAGTTCAGTGTTGTGTGAGAAGGTTGGAATTGGAAACACAGCAGGCCATGGGCTCTGCCTTTCAGAGGGGGATGGACTCGGAATGACGGTATCCACTGAGTTCCCACTGAGACTCGTACACTCACAGAGAGAGCTGACATCAGAGGCATCTGGGGTGCTTTCCTGGGGAACAACGGTCAGCGTCAACTCCAGCGGTGTATACACAACTTTAAGTGTGCACTTATCTTTCAGCTCATTGGTAGATGTTAGGGTGAAGAAGTCATCAAATTCCTCATCTTTGTATTGAAGACTTATATCTGTGGGGATGGAAAAATGTTCTTTGACAGCTGCAACCAACTCATTCACAGTTGAGGGCATGCCACTGCTGAGAGTGAGTTTCTTGATTTCATGATCGATGAGGACCCGGAATCTCACAGTTTGCTCCATTTCTAAGAAGAGTTATGTTGGAGACAGATGTGGCGCTTCAATATCACCATTTGCTTTCCTGCAACAATATAGGCAGACAGAGGATATACATCAGTAAGGCATCGTTGCTCAACGAGAGTTATGTGGTCTGTCTTCTCCAGATAATATCCGCGATAATGTTCATCAAACCAGGATATCTGTGTTCTCACAATAAAATACACTCTTTCCTCGATAAGTGCAATTTGAAGAATCACTGCAAAATCAGGAAGACCTGCAGTAGAACCAAAGGCCACAATCATGCCTTTTGAGTACCTCGATCCCTGATAGGTGACTGTGTCAGCCAGCTGAACATGAGACTGAGAAGGAGATATATGCCTGATTGACTCCTGAACATTTACATGTAGGACATCCACTGGAACTGATGTTACTCTTACAACACTAAGAGCAGGCAAAACTGTTGTGGAATGCAGGTTGTGGCTTATCATAAGCTGGTGCTTTGTAGCCAGGGACAGGAGAATGTTCTTGAAGTTGCCAGTATGCCTTACAATCCGTTTAAACTGGCTGTGTTTTGCTTCGAACCGCATCGTCCAGAAAGCTATAACTGGTCCAAAAGCTTTTATCAAAGCAGGATAGTGCTCTAAAAAGTGGTGCTTTGGGATTAATTCTTCATTAGGGAACACTTCCTGGAATCTGTGTCGGTGTTCAGAAATTTTTGAGTCAAGATATGCAATGCTTTCCTCATTATGGACTGGACCCACAACAAGCTCAACAATGTCTTTTAAAGACATCAACAGAAGCCAGGCTGGATCACTCAAAGGTATTTTGTGTCCAATAATGAATGGCAACAGTCGTATGAGGGACCAATTTTCATGCGCGTTTCCTCCAATCTTGTTTCTTGAGGAGAAGGTAGCAGGCACTGGCTGAGGAGAGTTAGTTTTGTCAGACCACTTATATGGAAACTGTGAAATAGCACTGTTAAGTTCACTAAATGTGAAATATTTCTTAGAAATAAAAACACTGAAGCACAGACCCAGTTCTAAGGGAACAATCCCTTCAAAAACGTCATGTAATATGTCAGGTGGATAGCCAGTGACACAGTGGAAATAGCTCAGATTTTCAGTCAATGGACAAGCCTTTTTAACACCGAAACAATGTGTCAAGGCAGGGTTTTCTTTGACAGTCAATACATGAGTTGCATGTGCTTCTTGGGTGCGAGCCGGAAAGGCACCAGACCTCACCTCCTTTATCTGATATTCTGATCGCTGTCCAAGACAAAATCTGCAAATGAATGGACCAGAAAAGTTTTCCACTAATCCACAAATTGAATGTGCCCCAAGATTGTCTGCTGCAACGCAAAACACACTTCCTTTCACATTTTGTCCTACTGAGGAAATGTAGATGCCGTCACGCTCCAAGATAGCAATGTCTTTTAACAAAGGGGCAAGCACTTCCTCATAACCAAATCTTTTGATGTCCACTGCTTTACATAAAAGGGCCAAGTACACAGAGCTCAGAGTTGACCGAGATGAGTGTGGAATGTTGCCAAACACCCAGTATACAGCTGTAATCTTGTGCTTCTTTCTTGAAGTTCCCAGTGGATTGCAAATTTCGAAGTCATCAATGTACAGTACAAGTGTAATTCTTAGTTCTTCAGAATAAAAAGAATTATCTTTATAGATTGTACCGTCTTGATATGATTCATATTTAGTAGATGGCTTGTCCTTTTCTTTACTCAGAACTTTTTCTCGAAGATCTTCTTTACCCAAAATATTAATCAAAGACTTAAGAATTGGAATATACTGGAAACTTCTCTTCTCATTTGGTTCAAGGACATACTCAACAGGCTCAACAACTTCAAATTTTTCTGTATAATACTTCCGTCTCTTGAACGATGAGGATAGAGGACCAGCACTACTAAGTGCTGAGCTTAGGGGATTGGAATTGCACAATTCTTCCACCAAAGATGTAACAACAGTGTCATCAATGGTTTGGTTATTTTTCTTAAAATGTGAAACAATGATACTTTTAACTGAAGATATGCATGCAGAATTTGCTATGAAGTGAAGATCATCAACCAATTCATCAATGCACCGAACTGAAACATTATGAACACTCTCTAATTTCAACAAGAGGGATGCTATATACTCTACAACTACACTGCTTCCATCTTCCTCTTCATAGTGTGCATTAGTGCTACTGCCTTCATGATTAGCATCATTGTGGACCTCATCCTCTTCAGAGGCTTCAAAATCAAGTGCTTCCTCGGGTAACCCACAAATAATCCCTGGTTTGAAATCTTGTGATGTATGTGGAGTATGCTTTCTGTGTTTGTGTGTTGCAAACGTCCCATACACATTTGTTTGGTGATCACATTCTATGAAGACACACTTAACAGTCTCGTTATTCTTGAGATGGTGACCTATATGCTCAAAAAAATCCTTTTCGTTGTTAAATCCAGGGTTTTGACACAAAGGGCAGGTAAATGAAAGACTTACTTGTGGTGAGATGAAGGATTTAGCTTCTGGGTGGTATCTTGAGAGGTGAGAGCGGAAGGAACTCCAGGATTTAAAAGAACATGGGCAATCTATATGAATACAAGGCAAGGCATGGCTGTGTCCAAAAGTCCCATGATGCAGTCTATAATGCTTTAAAATGTCACTCTTTCCTGGTACCACAGTGTTGCACAATTTACAGGGCCATCCCATCTGTCAATAAAAATAAATAAAGTTAGTTACATCTAGCCTTTTGAATACAAGCCTGACAAAATCCATAAAAAAATACACTTAAAATACAAATGAAGATTATCCTGCTGGACAAGACAAGAATGGGTAACTTTAGTTCATCACAGAATTTATTTTAGAAAATAATCTGAAACATCATGTCAACCTCATGTCTAACCATCACAATTGACTAATTGTTAGGTTAGATAGCCTAAAATACTTGTAACCTCTCTTGCCAAAATATTAGTGGAACAACTGGAATGACTGCAAAGTGTGTTGGTGTGAGATGTGTGAATGTGCCACAGTCAAATACAAAGTTTTCCTGTTAAGACAAACACGTGTAAAGCACGCTGGATGAGGAGAAATGGGCCTGCACCTTGAGCACCACCGTTGAGGTGTGTTAACCGCGGGCGGTGTGGGTGTATTTCAGGCTATGTGCTAATCCACATTAGCTAACAGTGCCCACACTCATAGTTGCAAATGTTTGCTCCCTCATCAATGTGGTTTTGGTTAGATTGTGTGGATTGTGTACTCGCCAAAGTAACTGCTGCACTGGCACATTAACATTCATATCCAACCGACGATAATCAGTAATCACTTAACTTAGCTAACGTTAGCTGTGGCTACGTGTGTCTGTCGTAGCTTCGACAGCGTTGGCAGCGGACTCAATGTTTTTGAAGAAGTTACAAACACCTCTGAAACATTAAACTATCACACAAAGTCAACATTACTTATACAACGCGCACACACACGTAACGTTAGATTAATACAGTAATTTATGTGGCTCAAGTTAACAAACTGTTTGAGGTAACGTTAACGTTAGAGCACATTCGAAATTGGCGCTCTTCGACAGAGCGATTGTGCAGCACAAAGACGTTAATTAGGGTAAAATCTCACTTTTAACAACACAAAGAGTTACTTACATGAGGTACGTGAAGTATTATCCGGCTCCGTAGAAAACCCCGTTCGAATAAACTTCTGGAACAGACGAGATGAAGGATTTGGCCGGGCTTGTTCTTCTGTTGCTGCAGGTAGTGGGCGGGTCGTGTCTTTTTACGTCTGATACGTCCATAAGGATACGTCTGATATAAACTTTTAAAATGAGTTTTGTAAAATCAATTTATGGTGAAGTCCAATTAAATTAATTTTATTATAGAAAATATTAAGTTACGAAAATATTCACACTTTTTTACTTTTTGAAAACTCAAAAAACAAAGAAAGAAAAATAAGTTAATTTATTGGAATAAATATAGTTTTTAAAATTAAGTTATAAGGACAATAGCACTGAACGAATTTTTACAGTGTACTGCATAACAAGTTTGTAGCAAACAGCATGAATACAGAGGCTCAAGTTTCCGTAGTGCAGCGACACATCAACAGTGTCAGTAGAACAGAGGGCAGCACTTAATTTTACAGTACAGCAGGGCATGTTGTAATCAAGTAAAACAGTCATTGTGTTTGTGATCAGATGGTGCTTGCTACTCTCACCTCATCGAATGACTTGTAAATTCCCAGTTGAGGAGATGAATAACATCAAATGTTCTGTTTCTTTTCTTAATCTTTTCTTCAGTCTGTGCTGCTGTGACATCCTGTCACACCACCTCTCACTAGAATAAGAATTACCAGGTAATACAGAGGATTAACTTGACTGAATCAGGGTTAAAAGGCTGAAATGATTTCCATCCATGTTTATAAGTGAAATTTGAAAGATCTGTCAGTACCTACATACCGTATGGTGATCTGGTGATCAGCCTGATCATGTTTCAGACCCAAGTGCCCTGTTGTTAATTCATGCAGATGCCGAAATTTCCGAAAGTTTCAACTGGGAAACTAATGTTCTAAGTCTAAAAGATAAGTATGCATACTGTATATTTATAAAAATTAACTTATACTTATCTGACTGTCTCATCTTTCACATCATATTTGACATGCATTACTGAGCCATCTGTAAAAATGTTTCAGAGATTGACTATATTAGGTTTATATATCCTGTCCATTAGGTTTAACCAGTCAGCCAAGTTTGAACTCTCTTTAATCTCCCCTGCCCTCATTTTCTCGGATATGTTCACCCTACCAGACACCATATTAAATATTTTATACAATATATTTATATTGTCCACTTTTGTCTTCCCATCTCTTCAATAACGCCTTTCCTTGACAAACTTGCTCTCAGTCTTGGAACACCCCGCTACGTCAAACACGCAAACCTAACCGGATGAATGGCGTTTTAAAAGAACAGTTTGCCGTGTACTCACCACCTGTGCACACAAGGAAGTGGTCAGTGACTCTGGGGTTGAGTTGAACGGGGTTATTTTTCACTGTATGTTGGATATTCTCACAATATCACTGTTTGTATAATACACTGTGGGTAACTTTGAAGTTGGCGTGTTTCTGTGTGTCTTGCTTGCTGTGATTAGTGACTAGCACCCCGGCTACATCTTTATCACAGCATCTGAACACAATTCTGTTAGACATCAAGGACCAATGAACATCTGATTCATTCTGTGGCTCATTTGGTTTGTACCAGAATGTGAAGCTACAGCGCTCTAATTGAGAGCAAAGGCCTGACGTGAAACATATTCGCAAGAGATTCATTTAGAATCTTGTTTACTTTCTTCAGACATCGTTCAACACAGCTGACAGCATCTTCAGTTGCATAAATGCTAAGTATTATAAATAATAAATAATACTGAAAGGGCTGGATCTGTGAAAATGAATATGCAGTATAAAATATATGTGAGTAGGTGGATCCTACTATAATATCAGTGTGAGTAGGTGGCATACTTTGATCAACATAATTAATGAATAATATGTGAGAAATTACTGATCCTCTTAAACCAATCTTAATTTATAATAGATAGGAAGAGGAACAGGAATGCATATTGCCTTCCAGTCCAATATGCAGTTTCTGTGTCAGACTGGGACCTGTTTTAGTTAGTCTTTCTCTTCATATTATCCTCTCATTGTTAAACATAATGTATTTATCTCACTTCCTATTACTATTAATTTTTTGTTTATTTACCTCTTCCATATCTTGCCATTTCTGCCCGTTTTCTCCTCTTTGGCCATGGTTTCACTCCAGCCACCATCACAGCTACTTCCTGATGTAGTCCAATGTGAATGAGGCATAAAACTGGATTAAATAGATCTCAGCATGTACAGTATGCATCCCAATGCTCCAGTGTCTGGAATACAAAACAGGAGGTTTCTTACTCATTTGCAATTTGTCTTGCTCTGATGTTTTTGCATTTTATTAAAACAGTGTTTTCATTTGTGCAGTCAAGTGAGTGTCTTTATGACTAATGTGCTTAATTACAAAACACAGCTTTAGTGTGAAAGACAAACCTCTCCAGTCACTGTAAAAGCTGTTTGTCTGAACCTTTGTTTATTACATTCTCACAAAGAGAAAATAGTTTTTCCCCCATCATCTCAAACTGGATTATATTTTTCTTTTATGTTCTGAAATTATAACCTTCTGCTAATGTTCTCTCTATGGTCTCTGTTAGTAAACCTAATTAGAGTTTAATATTATCCTTTTAAAATGATTGTCAAGAGGAATGAGCTAATCTGATTAAAGTGCTGGGGGCTCTGCACTGGGTTTGGTTTGGTTTGTTTTCCCAAATCCCATTGTGTCACCTGCCTCTGGTTAAAGCTCAGATGTTATTGGGTCATTTTGTTTAGTTTTTGACTTCTTCGCCACAGCTGATTTTTTTTTTTTTAAAGAAAATATATATCTATTCGTCATTTTTCATAGAATAAATTTATATGAATCACCTCTAGCAGACAGCTCTGATGGTGCTGGAGCTTCTGTGTTAGTATCATAATGGTGTGTCTCACCTCTCACCAACAACCAGCACCATTTGTCACAGCAGTTTTGAACTTATCTCTCTGTGCCGTCAGTTTCTTTAAATTATACTTTGTAGTTGAAAACAAAACAGCTTAATATAATGTTGACATCCAATATGTCAGTCATGCAGCTGTAATGTTTTATATTGAAAAACAAACTAACAACTTAAACTCATTCATATTTGATGTTAAAACACAATGTTTCATAGAGTCACTTTTCATGGAGCAGTTGTACCTCTGGAGATATGCAGTGCTGTCACTGAATAACAAGATGTTTTTGCTCCATTGATCCTCAAGCAGTGTACTTCCACTGTCAGACACGGCTGTGTTCAGTTTTGGTTGCAGAAATACCTGTATTTACAAAAAGTCATTCTCATGTTGAGAGCTTTGCTGTATTTAATGCCACTGAGCTGTTGACTCCAGGCTGCATTGACAGTAAAATGAAATGTAATGGAAACACATGCAGATTTATAAAAAAAAAAATTACACAACTTATTACTCCAAAGGCTACCCGGTTATTAGGAATTGACACCATTGTGTTAAGTTTCTGCGTTTTGGGACTTTGTTAACTATTAATACTAATACTGTATTTGTATGCCGCTTTTCTCTACATTGTTACGAAGAGCTTTACCAATAACTGAGCAGTGGTTATCAGATGCAAAGGTTGAAAAAAATATTTTTAATTATTAAAAGTAATATTACACTGAAAATAATATAACATTTTCAAATAAGAACTAGCTACTTCTACGGCGTGGTTTTAGAAAATACACTATGTTTGCAGGACTGCATCTAAAGCAGAGAGTCTCACTGCTGGGCGTCCTGCACTGAAGTCCCTGTTACCTTTTTATAAGAAAAGATTTCTAGTAACCTGGAGGGCTCTGCTAGATGAGCTCCAAGTGATCAGTCTTTTAGGGAGTTACATAATCTGAGATGTTACTAAAGCCTGGCATGCCATTTTTTACCACATAGATGATTTTTATAGATGTCATAATGAACCTGAAGATTAGTTTTTCACCATGTGCGTTCAAATTTTCAACACACTCTTTTTTTCTATTCTTACCGGCGTGGCAAAACCGAAATGTTCAGACTCTTGGAGATGACAAAGTCCAGAGTATGCCCTTATTGTATGTGGGCTCCTTAAGTCATTCCATGGTCAAAAACGCAGCATAGTTTTTTAGTCCCTCTGTCAATTTCAATTTTCAGTATTCCTTCTCTCCCACTTTTCCTCTGTCAGTGTTCAGAAGCATATGTTATATTATTTGAGATTCTCTTTACATCCCAACAGCCAATGCAATACTCTGACGTAAAAATCTTTTTTTAATCTGTAGCTGTCTCAGGACTGTAATCAGGACTGCATTCGTTCCACATGCAAATGTGTTTTGGGGGAATGGTTTTGGAGGAACGCCTGAAGGTAGGGGTGGGATTTTTTTGGTTGGAAACTTTCAAAGTCTAGCTGTCTCTTGCTGTTTCTCCAACATTGCCTACCCTAGCTTAAAGAGCACGGTGAAATCTTTTTTTTTCCATAGATCACCTTGGGTGTGTGCTAGAATATGTGTCAGGGCAACACATTCTCACTACTGACTCGTCACATACTGACGCTTGGTCAAGGCCATTTGTCGTCGCTTTTTAACGCCCTGGTTACCCCTTTAGCGCAGTAGTGTAGTCTACGTGATAAGCAGGTATACGCCATATACCCACTAGGAACGGTCAAAGATTTCCAAATACCCACTTAAAATAGGGAGATGATACGTAACAATTTCGTTTTGTGGCAGAACTTTCACATGGTCATTCATAAATTCACCCAACTGTGTTGCGAAGCTCCGAACTGACGTTTGCAGCGGCCTGTGACCGGGATGTGACATCACCCACCAAACAACAAAACAGCTGTGTGGCGGGTCACTCGGCACAAGTTTTGAATTAACTAATTTGAATCACTAAAGGAGATGTGAAACGTGAGCAAACTCAAACTACACTCTTTCAGTGTTTTCGTAAGCCTGCAGCTGAATCTGCTGCCGCTCCGGGTGATAAAACTTGCTCCAGGAACCAGATTCATATAACATCAAAGGCTTCATGCATCTCCTAACTGGAGCTGAGTTAGACTAAACATTAGAAAATCAGTCTATACCCACCACCTGCATAGGTGTCATTTACACTGGGGATGCTGCGGACATGTCCCCACCACTTTTTGTTTTTCTCCCAAATGTTCTGAAAAATAGCTTGTAACAAGAAATGTTAAATAATAAATGTGAGTACTATGTCCTCCACCACTTTTCAACACAAAGTGATGCCACCTGTAACTGTCATTGGCTGTTAAAGTCTTTGCAGTGTTGATAACACATAGGCAAAACAGTCCTTCAGAATGCTCTCTATTACAAGTACATGCATACTGTATATATTAGTGAGTTTAGTGGTGCTTATGGGACGTCGCTCTGGGACGGGGGAGTATGAGGC